GAATTTCTGTTACCAGACCAGGCGAGTGACCTGATTCCTCTGTGCCTGCTGTCTTGTACCACGCTGTCCCCGCCCGTTACCGACCCGGCCCGTCTGACCACGCTATTGCTCAGCCATCCATCCGAACCGCCCGGATTAGCTGCTATTCTCCAGACCTGTCTGCCTCTTCACACCAGGCTCTCTACCTGTCATTACCTCTGGTGATTCCTCTACCTCGGGTGGGTGTACTCAGGGGCCGCGACCTGGTCACTGTCCGCTCCAAGCCCATCCCCACCATCAGGGGCTCTGGTGAACAAGCAGACTGGGGCTTAGACTCCACGCCCTGGGGAATCCTGTCCTGTGGACTGCTAGAGTACACCAGGTGGTCCATAACAGTAGTAAAGGAATGCATAGGGGAGGAGGCAGCTGCCTTTCAATCACAGATACCCGATGTTGGGGCACTTAGCATTCACTAATTTCCCAGACGGGGGGTGTCGTAATAGGGAAGGAAGGATCCTGTCTCTAAAGGCAGTCACCTGAAACAGTTGTCTGCAGAATCCAAGGAGCAGTGAGGCCACTAGGCCTTACCCCAGGCTGTCCATGAGCCAAAAGACAGTCTGACCCGAGAGAAAACTGTACTGAACAATTACAGTGCCTTGAAAAAGTATTCATACCCCTTAAACATTTTCCACATTTTGTCACAACCAAAAACACAAATTTATTTTATTGGAATTTTATGTGATAGATCAACACAAAGTGGCACGTAATTGTGAAGTGGAAGGAAAATGATAAATGGTTTTCAAAATTATTTACAAATAAATATCTGAAAAGTATAGCGTGCCTTTGTATTCAGCCCCTCTGAGTCAATACTTTGTAGAACCTCCTTTTGCTGCAATTACAACTGCAAGTCTTTTTGGGGATATCTCTACCAGCTTTGCACATCTAGAGAGTGACATTTTTGCCCATTCTTCTGTGTAAAATAGCTCAAGTTCTGTCAGATAGGATGGTGAGTGTCTATAACAGCAATTTTCAAGTCTTGCCACAGATTCTCAATTCCGCCTCAGTCTCAAGTCTTTTGCAGACTCGAACGGGTTTCCTTCTAAGATTGCCCTGTATTTGGCTCCATCCATCTTCCCATCAACTCTGACCAGCTTCCCTGGCCCTGCTGAAGAAAAGCATCCCCACAACATGATGCTGCCACCACCATGTTTCACGGCGAGGATGGTGTGTTCAGGGTGATGTGCAGTGTTAGTGTTCCGCCACACATAGCGTTTTGCTTTTAGGACAAAAAGTTTGGTCTCATCTGACTAGAGCACCTTCTTCCACACGTTTTCTGTGTCCCCAACATGGCTTCTCACAAACTGCAAACAAGACTTTTTACGACTTTCTTTCAACAATGGCTTTCTTCCCACTTTTCCATAAAGGCCAGATTTGTGGAGTGCACAACTAATAGTTTTGCTGTGTACAGATTCTCCCACCTCAGCTGTGGATCTCTGCAGCTCCTCCAGAGTTACCATGGGGCTCTTGGCTGCTTCTCTGAATAATGCTCTCCTTACCCGCCCTATCAATTTTGGTGGACGGCCATGTCTTGGTAGGTTTGCAGCTGTACCATACGCTTTCCATTTTCATATGATGGTTTGAGCAGTGGCTGATGAGATGTTCAAACCTTAGGATATTTTTTTATACCCTAACCATGCTTTAAACTTCACCACAATTTTATCCCTGACCTGTCTAGTGTGTTCCTTGGCTTTCATGATGCTGATTTTTCACTAATGTTATCTAACAAACCTCTGGGGGCTTCACAGAATTCACAGAACAGCTGTATTTATACTGAGATTAAATTACATACAGGTAGACTCTATTTACTAATTAGGTGATTTCTGAAGGCAATTGGTTCCAGTAGATTTTATTTAGGGGTATCAGAGTAAAGGGGGCTGAATACAAATGTACGCCACACTTTTCAGATATTTATTTGTAAAAAATGTTGAAAATCATTATTTTCCTTCCACTTCACAATTATGTGCCACTTCAAGTTGGTCTATCGCATAAAATCTCAATAAAATACATTAACGTTTTTGGTTGTAACATGACAAAATGTGGAAAATTTAAAGGGGTATGATTACTTTTTCAAGGAACTATACACACGAACTGCCTGAACCACAACCAAGAAGTGCAGAGCAAGGCCCCTAAGAAGTGAAGGTTGTAAACACAGGGAGACCGGAAAATATCCTCAGTAAGATGGAAATCTAACACCACCTACAGAGAAAGATGGGGCACAGATGGAGAACCACCTTATACCTGAATCAAACCAAATGGAAAGATTTACAGGACGCCAGCCCCACCACCCGCCATGTGGAAGATATGACGGCTAAGAAGCAGATTTTGAGAAAGCACAAATGGTGGATAAAGCCTACCGCTCTCAATGGAGGCTGTAGGAGGAACCAGGTGGAAGTCCCACGGTGGCATAGGAAAACACACAGGGGGAGCAACCCAGAGAACCCCTACACTGAAGGTACAAGGCAAGGGGTTCTTGGCTAAGGGACACTGGAAAAAAAAAGATAATCAGGGTAGAACCTGGTCATTAATGGTACTTAAGGCCAGTTGTTCATCAACACCCCGATGGGGAAGGACCAAAGACCTGCACGACTGAGAAGGAGCATGAACAGGTACCCAGAGCCACGCACCAGACAATATAAGCCTGCCAGGTGTAAGGAGAATTTTTTTTTGAGGTAGACTCACATGGCATCAACATAGGTGAAATTAATGATCCGACCACCGTCTATCACTCAGAACCTAGAGTTCAATACCAACACTGTCAAAACCAGACAGGTGGTAGAGCGTCCTTCAGAACCAAAGATCCTCTGGGAATTGCAGCTCCAAGGGGATTACATAGTTAGTCTGGCTGAAAAAAGACAAACGTCCTACCAGTTCAACCATAAAAAAAAAAAAAAAAGTTATAATCCTATACCCACAGTTGATCCAGAGGAAGGCAAAAAAAACCCAGCAAAGCATGATTCAATTTGCTCCTGCAGGGGAAAAAATTCCTTCCTGATCCCCCGAGAGGCAATCAGATATTCCCTGGATCAACATTACCTATAAATGTTAATATCCAGTTATATTATGTGTATCAAGAAAATAATCCAGTCCTCTTTTAAAGCAATCCACTGAGCTGGCCATAACAAATTCTCGTGGGAGTCTATTCCACATTTTCAAAGCTCTTACTGTGAAGAAACCTTTCCGTATTTGGAGTTTAAATCTCTTTTCCTCCAGACATAAAGAGTGCCTCTTTGTCCTCTGTGATGACCTCACTATATCAACTACTGATGTATTTATACATGTTGATCATATTCCCTATATTCCCAGATCATATATCTGTCACATGTTCTGTCTCCCTTTGTAATGTACAGCGCTGAGCGAACTACTGGCGCTTTATAAATACTGTATAATAATATTCCCCTTAATCTCCTCTTCTCAGCTGAGAGAATAAAATCAGTTCCTCTAATCTTTCCTCATAGCTGAGCTCCTCCATGCCTCTTGTCAGTTTGGCTGCCCTTCTTTGCACTTTCTCCCATTCCCCATGTTCTTCTTTTTGTGAATTTGTGCCCAAAACTGAACTGCATATTGCAGATGAGGTATTACTAATGATTTGTACAGGGGACATCTCTCTCTCTGGAGTCTATACCTCTTTTAATACAAGAGAGGATTTTGCTCACTTTAGAAACTGCAGGTGGGCATTACATGCCATTATTAAGCTTGTGATCTACCAGAACTCCCAGATCCTTCTCCATCATTGATTCCCCCAGTTGTACTCCCCCCTAATATGTATGATGCATGCATATTCTTAGCCCCCAAGTGAAGAACCTTACATTTATCAACATTAAACCTCATTTGCCCCATAGTTGCCCAATTATACAGTGCATTGAGGTCAGCTTATAAGTTGGAGACATCCAGTAAGGACGTTATTCTACTGCAAAGCTTTGTGTCATCTCCAAAGACTGAAATGGTATTTTTAATCCAAGACCCTATATCGTTTATAAATATATTAAAAAGTAAGGGTCCCAACACTGAACCTTGGGGTACACCACTGACAACCCTAGACCTTGTAGAGTATGAACCATTAACCAATACTTTCTGAATACGATCTTTTAGCCAGTTTTCTATCAATTTACATACTGATTTTTCCAAGCCCGTAGACTTTACCTTACACATTAGCCATGTGTGGGGAACTGTGTCAAATGCTTTTGCAAAATCCAAGTATACCACGTCCACCGCCACCCCTCTGTCCAAAGTTTTGCTCACCTCCTCATAAAAAGAAATCATATTTGTTTGACAACTTCTGTCTTTCATGAATCCATGCTGTCTGTTGCTTAAAATATTTTTTTCCAGCAAGAACTAATCTACGTGGTCTTTTCTTAAACTCTCTAGTATCTTCCCAACTATAGAAGTTAAATTAACAGGTCTATAATTACTTGGTAAAGATTTTGATCCCTTTTTAAATATAGGTACCACGTTGGCCTTACGCCAATCCAGTGGTACTATGCCAGTCATTAAAGAGTTCCTAAAAATGAAAAACAATGGCTTTGAAATAACAGGGCTCAATTCTTTAACCACTTGCCTACTGGGCACTTTTATCCCCTTCCTGCTCAGGCCAATTTTCAGCTTTCAGTGCTGGCACACTTTGAATGACAATTGCGCTTTCATGCAACACTGTACCCAAACAACATTTTTAGCATTTTTTGAGACAGATAAAGCTTTATTTTGGTGGTATTTAATTACCACTGGGGTTTTTATTTTTTGCTAAACAAACTAAAAATGACTGAAAATTTTTCTTAGTTTAAAAACATTTGTAAATAAGTAAATTTCCCCTTCACTGATGTGCACTAATGAAGCTGCAGTGATGGGCACTGATGGGCATTGACAGGCATCACTGATGGGCACTGAAAGGCAGGACTCATATATGGCACTGACTGGCACTGATAGGTGGCACTGAAAGGCAGCTCTGATGGGCACTTATATGTGGTATTGATGTGCACTGGTAGGCACTGATATGTGGCACTGATGTGCAATGATGGGCACTTACAGGTGGCATTGATGGGCACTGACAGGTGCCCTGATCAGGGCACTGATGATCAGTGTAGATGTCCCCTCTGAGGAATGCCGATTACCGGCTCTCCTCTCCTCACGAGCTGTCAGCGGTAGGAGAGGACTGCCGATAACCGGCATTTCACATTTTACATGTGATCAACTGTGATTGGACACAGCTGATCACATAACAGAGTTGACGTCATCGGCTCTTTACAGTGATTGGTGTTACGCTGTGTCCAAGGGACACAGCGCACCACCGATCACCGTGCGCACCTGAGGGCACACATGCACAGTTACAGTGGGGGGAGGTCATGTGACGTCCTCCCAGAACGAGAGAACCACCACCCGCCCATCATTACGTTATATGGCAGCCGGGCGGTGGTTAAGGATCTGCGGGTGTATGCCATCCGGTCCACGTGCTTTGTTCACCTTTAGTCTGTCTAAATATTTCTGGATCATATTAGTTGTGCGCCAATGTGGATCATCTGGGGCTGTGTCAATACCATGCCCATTATGGACAAGAGCTCCCCCTTGCTCCTTTGCATGCACAGATGACACAGTCAAAGGTCAGGCTAAGAGACCAAGAGCTATAGCAGCAGACCAACAACAGGATAGGTACACAAGCAGGTCACCCTGGGAGATTATGCAGGCTCACCTGAGATGCGGGGTCTAAGCACTAATCGGTATTCACCAGAGCTCCTGATTGTAGAGATGGGTTTTGCTACATGTTAGTACCAGGTCTCAGTTCTCAGGATAGCCCCACCAGGAAGAGAGCAAGCCAGGATCCAGTAACACATATGGCAGGTAGGGAACTAGCAGAAGCGTAGTCAGTAAACAAGCCAAGGGTCGGTAACAAGTGGTAGCAGGTTGGGATGAGGAAGAATTGTAGTCAAGGAACAAGCCAAAGGTTGCTAGTAAAGGTATGGACGGCATCAGGAGAGACAAGGTCAAGATACTGGCTGGAGAAGGCCATATAACTTTAAATGTGTGTATAACTGGTTGCTGAACTTGTAATACCACTTGTGTATTCAAAGCCACAATATTAGTTGATGCATTTTGAACAAACATCTGCAGATGTTTCCAGTACAAAAACAAACAAGAAAAAAAAATGGATATTTTGTACTTACCTTGTAACCTTTTCCTTCGATTGTCCACTGGGGTATGCAGTAGACAGTAGATAATCTGGCAAACAGGAAGTGCAGAGACATGGCTTAAATCAGGAAGTTCATGGGAGGAGCAAGGAGTTCATGGTTCAGCAGAAAACATGGCATGAGGCAGGATTGTCCAACATTTATTGCATACACAGGTCAGACATAAGGCCACATAGCATTTCACATCTTTCTTGTAACCAGGCCATCAAAATGAAACGAGATAAAAGTTCTTCAGTCTTAGAAACCCCAAAATGCTCAGCAAGTTTTGAATCATGAACCAACCTGAGAGTTTCAACCCGAGCAGATTCAGGTATGTAGAGATGATGCCCTTGAATCCAAAAGCCATTCTTATTATAAGTCAGGTTAATATCCTTAGGTGGATGATTGAGAAGTGGGTCATTCTCATACTCCTATTTGAGAAGATTCAAGAATGCCTTAGAACTTGTGGCCCCTACAAAGTTCTTTTGAGGCAGGATTGTGCATTCAGAGTTGTTTACCTGGAGAGGCCCAGACAACATCCATGATAAGGCATCAGCCTTACCATTTCTTGACCCAGGTCGATACGAGATAATAAAATTAAACGTGGAAAATAACAGTGACCAACGAGCTTGTTTAACTACTTGCCGACCGCAGATAGCCGAATGACGGCTGCACTGCGGCCGGCCAGTTCTGGGTGGGCATCATATGACGTCCTCCCAGAACGCGCTCTCCTACGCGCCCCTGGGGGCGCGCACCCGGCGATCTCCGTGATAGCTGTGTCCTACGGACACAGCTGATCACGTGATGTGGTAAAAGGCCAATCACAGCCTTTTACCACGTGATCAGCCATGTCCAATGACACGCTGATCACCGGGAAATGCAATTTCCGGTTCTCGGCTGCACTTTCCTCACGTTGTCAGATCGTGAGGAAAGTACTGCCGAGAACCGGCAGTTGTTAGAGCAGGGATCGGCACCGATCATCAGGGCACTGATGATCAGTGACCTGATGATCGGTGCCCAGCAGTGCCACCCACAAGTTCCCTCCCACCTGTGCCCAGCAGTGCGCCCACTAGCTTCGCCCACCTGTGCCCAGCAGTGCATCCACCTGTGCCCAGCAGTGCATCCATCTGTGCCACCCAGCAGTGTCACACAAGTGTGCCCAGAAGTGCCACCTACCTGTGCCCAGCAGTGCCACCCACCTGTGCCCACCCACCTATGCCCATCAGTGCAGCCCAGCAGTGCTGCCAGTAAGTGGCACCAGTCAGTGCCCAGCGGTTGTGCCAGTCAGTGCCCAGCAGTGTCGCCAGTCAGTGCCCAGCAGTGATGCCAGTCAGTGCCCAGCAGTGATGCCAGTCAGTGCCACCTATCAGTGCTGTCTATCAGTACCCATCATCAGTGTCGCCTTTCAGTGCCGCCTATCCGTGACACATCATCAGTGCCGCCTATCAGTGCCGCCTATCCGTGCCACCTCATTAGTGCTGCCTATCAGTGCCCTTCAGTGCTGCCCATCAGTGCCGCCTATCAGTGCTGCTTATTAGTGCCCATCAGTGCTGCCTCATCAACGCACATCAGTGAAGGAGAAAAATTACCTGTTTGAAAAATTTTATAATAGAAACAAAGAAACTTTTTTTTTTTTTTCAAATTTTTTGCAATTTTTTTGTTTATAGCGCAAAAAGTAAAGTGCCCAGTGGCGATTAAATACCACCAAAAGAAAGCTCTATTTGTGAGAAAAAAATGATACAAATTTCATATGGGTACAATCTTGCATGACCGCGCAATTGTCAATCAAAGTGCGACAGCACTGAAAGCTGGCTTGGTAAAGAAGGGGGTATAAGTGCCCGGTAGGCAAGTGGTTAAAAGACAGACAATTTCTTGGCAGAACAGATGAATTCTAGATTTTTATGATCAGTGAGGACAGTCACAGGATGCTTAGCCTCTTCCAACAGATGCCTCCATTCGGAAAAAGCTTCTTTAATTGCCAGCAACTCCTTATTCTCAATGTCATAATGCTTTTCAGCTGATGACATCAAGCGAGAAAAATAAGCTCAGGGATAAAGCTGCATTTTTTCTCCTCTTCACTGAGGAAGGATAGCTCCCACGGCAGTGTCTGAAGTTTCCAGTCCACTTCCAAAATGAAAGGTAGCTCAGGATCTGGATGTACCAATATTGGTGCAGAAGTGAAAAGATTCTTTAGCTTGCTGAAAGCAGTCTGCGCCTCAGTTGACCATGCAAAGGGCACTCCTTTCTTTGTCAGCTGTTTAATTGGTGCTATTACTTAAGAGAAGTTTCTTATGCATTTCCTATAAGAGTTGGCAAATTCAACAAATCGTATTTCCTTAACGTTTCCAGGGGCAGGCCAATCCACCACTGCCTTGATCTTTTCGGGATCCATGTTCACTCCTGAAAAAAAAAACCTATCCCAAGAACTGGATCTGGGTTTGTTCAAACTCACATTTCTCCAGTTTGATGTAAAGTCAGTTCATCCTTAACCTTTTGAATACAGTGCAGACATGCTTGTGATGCTCCTCCAGGTTGTCCGAAAAGATGAGAATATCATCCAGATATGCAATAACAAACTGGTCCAACAGATCTCGAAAAAAAAATCATTGATGAAAGTGCTGAAAAGTAGCAGGCATTGCATTGGCCAAAATGCACAACTAGGGACTTGTAGTGTCCATATCTGCTTCTAAAGGCAGTTTTCCATTTGTCTCCTTGATGAATGCGTACAAGGTTATATGCCCCCCGTAAGTCTGTAAAGACTAAGTTTTGTAAAGACTTTGAAACAGCGGAGTCTTTCCAACATTTCAGTAATTAAAGGGAGTGGGTAACGGTTTTTAATAGTAATTTTATTCAAGTCCCTGAAATCAATGCATGGACGCAAAGTGGAGTCCCTTTTCTCAACAAAGAAAAGGGCTGTCCCTGCAGGGGATGTTGAGGGTCTGATAAAGCCCTTCTCTAAATTCTCATCAAGCCACTCCCTGAGCACCTTTAACTCAGGTTCTGATAAATTGAAAAGGTGGCCGAATGGTATTTCTGCTCCTGGAAGCAGTTCAATGGGACAATTGTATGGGCGATGAGGAGGTAAATGATCGCCATTCTTTTTATCACAGATGTCTCGAAACTCATGGTATTGTGGAGGTAGGTTGTCATATGACTGTGTAGTTACCACATCAACTTGTGATTCCCTGACTGGTAGAGATCTTGTACAACATGGTTCCCTACAATGGGGGGGATGTAAAATTTAAAGTCAGTGCTCCCCAGTTAATGGAGGGATTATGGGTAGAAAACCAAGTAATGTCCAGGATGACAGGAAATTTAGGTGATTTAATCAGCTGAAGCTGATGGTCTCATAATGGTCAGCCTCAAATTGGGAGTACCCGAGGAACCGTTTCATAAGTAACTGGTCCCGATGATAAAGGTGAACCATCAGCCGTCTCCATATCAGTAGGGGCAGATTTGTTTCTTCTGAGAATATTATTGTTGTGGGCAAACTCTATGTCCATAAAGTTCTGCCCAGCACCAGAGTCCAGCATAGTAGAACATGGAATTTCATGGCCCTCAGTGAAAAGTTTGATATGGACAACAAAATAAGACTATATAGAACCAACTTTACTTTCTTCATGGATCAATGGGGAGATAGACTGGGTAATTGAGTTTATTTGTTCAGGCACTATAACATCAGTCACAGCAATTGATCTTTTAACTTTGTTGGGACAATTAACGGCGTAATGGCTTGAGTCCCCACAATATAAACATAAGTGCTCCGACAATACTGTCTATGTGAAGACAATTGGCTGTCTATGTGATATTAATAAAGATAGGAAAAAATGTTTTAAATGTTTTTATTTTGCTTTATAATAGATAATAGTCTGAGGCAGAGATTGATTTTAATGGTTTTATAAACTCTTTAGGCTGCATGATATGTAAGCTCTGTATACACAAGAGCAATAAATTATAATGCTATGAGGTTGGCTGTTACAGGTTTTTGCTTGCATACATACCTGTATGCCCTCTGAGCCTCCGTAACGGATGCCAAAAGTTGAGGAATCTCATAATCCACAACCATCTGTAACTGGCCATCTCCAACTCCATCACGATAGACGATAATGCGGTTAGGTACATCATTATTGTATTTCTTCCACTTTTCAATGGCACCTGTTGCAAAGAGATTGCCATACAACTTTAAATGTGTGTATAACTGGTTGCTGAACTTGTAATACCACTTGTGTATTCAAAGCCACAATATTAGTTGATGCATTTTGAACAAACATCTGCAGACGTTTCCAGTACAAAAACAAACAAGAAAAAAAATGGATATTTTGTACTTAACTTGTAACCTTTTCCTTCGATTGTCCACTGGGGAATGCAGTAGACCCTTGATATATGCCCTTCTACTAAGAGATTAGGCACAAAAAAAAGCAGAAGGACCAGCTCCTTCTAGGGAACATATTTCTTTTGTGTGCAAAGTCAGCCTTAGTAGTATCTAGCTGTCAAAGGTAAAATCAGGTAGCCATAGAACACTGATATATAGCAAAAAAAGGTCTGCACACCACTAATAACTGCACTATTTTGCAACCAACAATAAAACATCTACCAACCTGCTATTGCAATAATTTTAAACATACAGCGTAAGCACACTATATACCAAGAATACATTTACAATAAAGTTGTATTCAGCATGTAAGCACATAGGTACAAATAGCCAATTATGTCATATCACATCACACATTATAAAGCAAAGGTATCTGCTTCAGCTCAATTCCAGTCTATATCCAAAAAGAATATTTGCATGTATGTACTGTACATAAAGTGAGCAACATCTAAACTGAACACAGACTGACCAAATTTCTATCAGTGTGTGACTGTCCCTGCTCAACAGAAGTTGATCTCTTGATCAACCTGTCAAAGGGACATGCTGTAAAATATTGTGATTAGCACTGCAGCCTCAGGGGTAAAAAGTATCAGAGGGGCATGGCTTAGGGCAGGGACTATGTTTGGAAGAAGTTTTTTGAATACATTTTATGGTTTGACACTACAGATTGTGGCTTCACTCTCTGGTTCTCTATTATTCTGTTTACTGAACTGCTATTTCAAATAATGTTATGAGCCTAGAAAACACCACCTATCTATGCAACAGAGATAAGAAGAGGAGGTGTTCGTACAAAGCACACTAATGCAGGCATGACATCTAAGGACTGGTAAGCTGCAAAATATTACACCTGTGTCTTTGGATAAGCTTTAATAAGAAGTACAGTCCACGCTCTTTTGGCTGTACTGCTCCTGTGACCTGTTTTCAGCTGACAGCAGGCTAGAGCCCACTGTCAGCTGACGTCACTCAGCTGGTCCAGGCTGGGGAAAAATCCAGACTTTAAAGTCAGGATCCACCCAGAGTCTGCAGCGGCACCTGGCTCAACCTCTCAGCAATCCGCTGAGAGCCTGAGCCAGCTGCTCCCTCCCCCTCCAAAGTCCAGCACTCGAGTGAGGGTGAGGACAGAGCAGGCAGCGGTGACGGATAGACTCACGGACAACAGTGACTGACTCACACGGCTGAGAGAACTCAGAGATCAGCGGACATGTGATCGATGAGTTCTCACCCTTAGAGCCGGCATGGGGACAGATGCAGCATTGGACCCGTCCTGCATCCACCTAAGTAAGTATGATTTATTTTTCGAATTTTTTTTAAACGTTCCCACACTTCTTTTAAATCTGCTTTAAAAAAAAAAAAAACACAAATGAAGACTGTTTATATTTACCTGTTCCCCTGCCCATTACTGGACTCTTTGCTCTCTTGCACCTGATTCCTTATTGATATGTTATCTTTTATTTTACCGAGAGGGTAGTCGATGCTTGGAATAGACTTCCAGCAGAGGTAGTGAGTTAGTCAAGAGTAAGTAGTTTCAAACATGGTTGGGACAAACACAGATCTATTGTATACTTAAACAAAATAAATAAATAAATTGGGACAGACTGCATGGACTTGGTATTTTCTACGCTGTCATTTGTCCATGTTTCTATGAATTATGTAAGCCACTACGATAA